GATTTAGGGCTGAAATGAAATGTCCTATCCTTAATTTCACTGCCCTATCCATAAGAATATAATAAAAGAAATGCTGAATCAGTCCAAGGTCCATCTAGTCCAGCATTCCATACACATGGTGGCAAACCAGCTGCCCAGAGGATCCCTCAAGCAGGGTGGGTGCAAGACCTCCTCTTGCCCAGCTCCTCAGCAACTGGTATATGCAGGCTGGCCACCAGGGCAGGAGCACTTAGCCAGCAAGACCAGTAGCCACTAATAGCGTCCTTCCTCATAAATCTTTCTAATCCCTTTTTTAAGTCATCCAGATAGGCAGCCATCACCACTTTCCAATAGTAGTGAATTTCGTCATTTAACTATACATTGTGCGAAGAAGTACTTCATTTTAGCTGTCATCCCACCAGTCAACTTCATGAGATGGCCCTGGATTCTAGTGTCATGGGAGAAGAAAAAAAAGTCTCCCACTTTCTCCACACCATGAATTCTTTTAAACATATCAACTGTCCCTTACTCACCCTTTTCCTATGCTAAACCGTTCCAGTTGTTGTAGCAACTTCTCATAAAGGAGATGCTCCAGGCCCTTGATTGTTTTCATTGCCTTCTCTGAACCTTTTCCAATTCAATAACGTCCTTTTTTCAAGTATGGTGACCAGAATTGAACATTATATTCTAATGATGGTTGTATCAAAATTTTGGCTCAGTAGTCACAGCTCATCAAGTAATTTGTAAAATGAATCTGAGAGTGGAAAAATTGAATCATCTTGCTTGAAGGGGAAAGTGGCTAGTGAAAGAGAGGATGTGGCTGGCAGTTCAGATGTTACAAACTTGTATGAGAAATCTATCTAATTTAATTTTGCTTTTTAAATCAGAATGTACCCAGTTCACATGTTCTGGATTAAGTATGGATCATGATAAGATCTGCTGTTGTATTCTGTGTATTCCTGATCTTAAAATGACATTCACAGACCCCCAAATGTCTACATCTAAAAAATATACAAAACAGTAATACTTTTGGAAAATGTACATAAACAATTTGATCAATGGGAGAAGAATGTGTACATGCATGAATCTAGAAAAATATGTAAAGAGAAAGGAAGTGAGGAGAAAAGTCCCCATTCTGATATGGGGTTCAGTCAGAACCAGTACTGACACAGAATTCAAATATCTTTGGACAACTGATTTGCTAGCTGACAGAGAAGGTACTTACCCTTCAAGATAAGCAAAGCAACTTAGGATAAGAGGCACACAAATATTAAAAATGGCAGAGAAAGAACCCTGTAATTGCCAATATGTGGTATTTAATTTCCTTGTTCACACCAAGAAACTGTTTTAAATAGCCCTATGGAATGCAGTGAGAAAAATTTGAAAATTTAATGAAGCCAGGATTGGACACTAGTATATCAGTTTGTATTTAGCTTGACACAAATGGTCCTGCCAAATAAAATTTTGAAGCATGTTGTGTTATTTCTTTCCTATTTCCTTCCTTTTGGCTGCCCTCCCCTTATTATATTTCTATACCACCTATTTCCACTTTCAAGAAACTGAAAGTGAGAGCCAGTGTGGTGTAGTGGTTAAGAGCATGGGACTGGGACTCAGGCGATCTGGGTTCTTGTTCCCGCTCGGCCATGGAGCCAACTGGGTGACTTTGGGCCAGTCACAGACTCTCAGCCCAACCTACCTCACAGGGTTGTTGTTGTGGGAATAAGATGGAGGAGGAGATGTAAGCTGCCTTGAGCCCTTTGTAGGAACAAAGGCAGGATATAAATCGCAATATGAATAAATAAAAAATACGAAACTCAAGGCAGTTTGCATGGCCATTCTCCTTTCTATTTTATCCTCACAACCCCTTGAGGATGGTCAGGCTGAGAATCAGTCACTGGCTAACATAAGACACTGGCTGCCTCCGGAACTCAGGGTTGAACCAAGGGTAAAGGTGGCTCTGTGGAGGTCAGGGCACAATGTGTCCTGGATCCTCCACAGGGTTTCTTCCCTTCCGCACCAGCTAGGTAGCCACAAATGACTGTCTAGCAGAAATTCAGAGGCGGAACAAGGAAGCAAAGATGAAGTCTACCACTTCTCCCATTCTGCATCAGATTTCCATAATCCTCCAATTTTGGAAGCCTCGAAACCATGCAATCTTAAGGTTACTGCAAAGCCAACATATCTGTAGATAAGTATTTTTTCCCTTCCAGAGAATTCAAAGTGTCTTCCATGATGTGAAAAACAATATATTTCTGTGGGATGTGAAAGGAAAAATAATTAAGTTAAGGGTAGGTAGAGCAGGGGTGCAGCACCTCTTTTATTCTGAAGGACAACATTTGGAGAGAAACTGGAGGGCTACATTCCAGTGGTGGTCAAAGACAAAAAAGGCAATTGAAACACGAATGGCATAAGTCTTCATGGACAACAATTCATGCCATTGGGTACATGAAGTGTACTTTTAATTTATTATGGGGGTAAGGTGGTGATTGACAAGGAACCAACATTATGTATCCCTATAGGAAAGTTTACACATCATATATCTGATGAAGAAGACTTTGGCCGTGACACTATTTGGGTTGGTCCATCCATGAAGCAGAGAGAACTGTTGCATGAAGCAGCAAAAGCATACAAGTGACAAATTGTGTGGCTACCCTGTCCTAACCCCAACAATAACTCAACCATATCCTACCACATTTTGCAAGGTCTTGGCTATATTCCAGGAGATCTCCTACAAGACAGTAAATGCCCCAGAGCCACTTCCAAGATACCACAAAAGCTCCACAGCATCCTGAAATCCCCCATGTAACAGAAACATTTAGGGGTGTGCAAGTTCACTTGGGGTGACAGCAAGGTAGGAAAAGTTGTATACAGGTGGCACAAGTTCTGCTTCAAGCAGCAAGATAGCTTGAGGTAGACC